AGTCAGAGCAACTGCTCTCTGTCTTTGCATCTCTGTTGGGACGCAGCATCCCAGGGCCTGGTGGCAAGCAGGGAACTGGAGAAATGCAGGCAGAACTGGGTGGTGAGCTGCACATGCAGCCTGCTGTCTGCTGCAAACACTGTAGCAAGGCTGTTCCCCTGCAGCAGCAGGGGGAATGATCTGCAGCAGAGGCCCAGGAGTACAGTGCAGCAATGCTGTTACTGAGACGTGCTCAATAAAACTTGCTGTGAAAAAAAAATGCTACAAAAAGAGCACGAAAGGAGGCATTGCTTCATAAAATGAAGTTTACTGAGATAAAAATGCAAAGCTGTAAGCTAATGTTGCTGGCTTCAAAAGTTGTTTATTAATTTTTCTTCTAATGGGACAAGTTAAGGGAAGGGTCTTAAGTAGGAGACAAGGAAAGTAAAAGATAAGCAGCGTTTGCAGGAGATGTTTGCCTCTATTCTCTTGAAATCCTTCTTGACAAAACTCCTTGAGGAACAGTGCAAGACTAAACACGTAAGCCAGAGCCTGTGCTGAGCTGGGTCTGCACTTCGTACTTGTGGGAGCTCTGCTGTAACAAATCATCTTCCAAGCAGCCTTGCTGATTGTGAACCTAACCCTGGCCACTTTTCAGATGCAGTAAAACTGTTGTGTGCTTAGATCAAGTCTGTTTATTTTTAGAGGTAAAGCCTTGTCTCTGCCGCAGCGAATGGAGCTGGGCATGATTCCATCGCAGGTGTTTTCTGAGGATTCAGTCTGCATTTTATTCTGCTGTAGCAGCGAGCAAAAGCTGGCTCTCAGTGCTGGCTTAAGTGAAGGAACGTTTTAAAGGCAATCAGCTGAGCTGTAGCAATTAAGGAAACCTTGGATTTCTTTCAGGCCACACTATCTCCTTTTTCTCACATTGTCTTGAAGCTTTACATTTTCAGCTAAGGCTAATTGAATGAGACAGTGATGCATTGTACGCTGAAACCAGATCAATCACTGCATGACTCAAAATAAAAGCAGCGATGACACCCAGAACAAGAGCTTGGGAAATGTGATATTTACATCAAAATATTCTACATTTTTGTCTCATGGCTTTAAAACCTAATTTTAAAATGCCTTGATGCTCTGCATAACAAATTTCTCCCTGCTTATCTGTCTGTATTGGCATGCGTGCATTTGGACGATGAAACTGAATCATAAAAGCAGATTTAGTAATAGTGAGGTATGTTCTATGCAGTTAAGCAGCCTAACGTACAGTTGTGTTTTCCCCCTTCCTTCACTTTAAATATTTACCTGGATGCTGTTTCCAACTCTTAGACAGCTTCCAGGCAAAACTTGTCATAAGTATTCACTTATGCTAACTATATTTGCATGGAAAATAAGGGAATGTTCCTTCCAAAATGATTAACCAAGAGTGAAGACTTAGTTTCATCTTTGTGACCTGAGCACCGTAAGAACAACAGAAAGTCTTAACTGGTGTTTTCGGGTATGCAGACTCTCAGCTCAGTATCTGAATCCCTTGTGAAGTCAGAGGGCTTTGTTTTCCTGTCAGTACATAAAGTGCAGTGCTGTGGACAAAGCTCTCCTGCAGGGGCACAAAGCACAGAGTGCAGTCATTCCATCATTTCCACGCCACACGGGGATACCAGCAGCCCGCATTCAGCAGCAGCACCCAAAAACATCCACAACTTCTCCAATGACAGCTCACCTCTTCTTTCTTGGCTGATGGCACCTGCAGAAAGTGGAGCCCCAACGCTGCAGAACCTACACACTTTATGGATCAGTGTGCCAGAGGTTTTTGGAATATATATGTATATATTTTTGGAAGCCTGACAAACGCATCTCTGGTTTCAGTGAAAGGCTGGGATAATATAAACAAGCAGTCACTCTGTTCCAAGAGGAGCTTTTTGTAATATTCTTATTTTATTGTAATTACCTTATTGTTTTCATATTATGAGCTACTTGTAGAAAAATACAGGAAACACGACTGCGATACAATCCTTTAATCAGGAGTAGCTTTGTTCCAGTCTTCATTTCTATTCAGTGTTGAAACCTCGCCTAACAAGAGCAAAACCAAACCTTGAATTTAGATGTAATACAGCATTAATACTGTGGTATCACGTAGCATTTTATCTCTGGACATGAGAACTTCTGTAAGAGAACCTTTTAAAAAGTTTATAAGGGTTTTTCTGTGCACAAGGTGTTTTCAAGTAAATCTTACTACAGAGTAGTGCTTCTCAAAAGTACATAAACTTCTTCAAGAGAGCCACTTAAAAATCTTTTAACCTGAATCAGCTGGGGAATTTGTATTATCATATATATTAAATCTTCTCTTTTCTCCCTCTCTTTTTTTTTTCCTTTTGCTCACAGATTATGCCAGAATGCATTTACTACATCACTGTTAAAGCATGAGAGCTTTTTAAGAAAAAAAAATCTATTTTTTTTTAATACGTGAATGAATTTAATACACTGGTTATTTGTCCTACCCCTATGTGTAATCCTGTGCTGCAAATCATTTTACTACTGATTTCAAATCTTCCTCCCCATTTTATTTTGACCTATTCAGCAGCCGAATGTTTATGTTTTTGAATTAAAGACTGGAATTAAGGTGTTGGGTTTTTTTTAAATCTGAACTGTTTTAACAAAAAGCATTTGTCCAAGAAAGCTAAAAGACTGCTCCCAAGCTGCTCAAAAGCAGAATGCAGCCACATACAGCGAGCAACGGCAATTTGTTTGCTTGTTTCTGGTCCATTTCTTAGCTGGGAAAGCTGTATCCTTGATAGGATCGGATTCAAAGGATATTTTTGCTACAAAGATTGTGGATGTGAAATTATTGCTTAAACAGCATTTCCAAAAATGAAAACAAGTTTTATGATACGGCTTTTACGACTTAAAACGAGGTGGTATTAAAACGCAACTTCTAGCTCGTGGCTCGAATTAGAACTGAATAAAAGGCAGTTGTTTTCATAAAGAAATTATTATTTTAAGAAGGATTTCCTTGTTTGCAGGCACATACATACACACGTATTAATGTGAACTAAGCTGAACCCCAGATAAAAGGCATACCTCTGTGAGTGCGTTAGGGCCCGATCCAAATTTTATCAAAGTTAGTGGGAGCCTTTCTCATTTCAAACCAGATTTTGCAATCCATATTCACACGACCCTCTGGGGGATCCCTCAAGCTGACACGGTTTTACATGACTTGGCCCCAAATGTCTGCGGCAGTTTCTAACAACCCAGTGCAGGGCTGCAGTAGGAAATCATTTAGTCTAATTTAAGGAAATCACTGCATTTTTATTTTCATATCATTTTGTTCCTATGCATCCATTTGCTCTTTTCTGAAGGCACACTGGAATGCTTTCAGCGTAAAGACTGAAGTATTACAAATGCTGCCTGGAACAGCCTCAGCAGACGTGTTTGTTCCACATCCCTTTCTGCAATATTTCCTTTGGTGGATTTCCTCTGCTGCTGGAAGCAAGCTGTCTAGCTTTCTGCAACACAATTACAGAGAAGAATTTCCTACATTTTACTGCACAGGATGAGGTGATTTTGGATTTTATCACAACCTGAACCACACTTGCACAAAAGATAACAGCAGCAGGATACAAAATCCAATGTGCCCGTCAATTGCAATGTGTCCATCACAGAAGGACCTGGGTTGAAAAGAACCACAAAGATCATCTAGTTTCAACCCCCCTGCTATGTGCAGGGTCACCAACCACCAGACCAGGCTGCCCAGAGCCACATCCAGCCTGGCCTTGAATGCCTCCAGGGATGGGGCATCCACAGCCTCCTTGAGCAACCTGTTCCAGTGCCTCACCACCCTCTGAGTGAAAAATTTCCTCCTAAGTCAACCCCGATGCGTCCATCAGCCCCACCAATGGGCACAGTGTAGAGAAGGAGAAGCCTGGCCCAGGTGTAGGGCAGAGCCTTGTCATTCTGCCACCATCAAGTGGAGACTCCTCAAGTCGAGAGCAGTGGCAGCATTCAGCCTCAGCTTTATAGTTCTGTACTAAAGTTTGTTTTGTTGCTCCCTAAACACATGCAGATATAATTTTGGTCTTTACTACAGAGAAACTAAACTTGCATGGAAAGATGACACTTTATTAGAAACCGTTGCATACAAAGCAAGTTGCAAAAGCCAACTGGGTATTACAGGAAGATGCAGTCAGTTCCTTCGTCTTCATTTAGAGATGCAGTCACAGGAGTTTTCTCCTTGTTTAATGTTGCTAGTTTTGATGACCGGTTGTGGGATTGTTTTGGTGTGGTAGCACTTTTAAAAGCACTTAACCAGTGAGGTGAATGTGAACAAAGTCTTGTTTTCTGTAACAGTTTTGAGATCATTTATTTTCATTTATGAGGTGTTTGGACTTTTCTTTCCATGGGGATGCTGGAAATTCTTAAGAAATTTAGATGCAGGCAATTCAAAAGCTGGCTGTTTACTACTGCTGCATGTGGTTACCCATATTCACAACAGTCTTTCAGCATCATCTGTCTGTGATCACATTTTTATTTGAAAGAGAACAGTTGTCATGTTTGCTCTGTGATTTACATTATTTAAACAAGCAGGGGAAAAAGGAATTTGAAGCAGCTCATTCAATAGCATGACTAAGATGTATGACAACTTATTATAAAGCGTTCACCATTATAAGGCAGTAAGGCATATACACAAAAACAAAGAATAACTCTTTTGCTCTGAAATAGCCTGGTGAAAGGATGCTGCCTCCTGGTGATTTATAGGCATATGAACTTCCACAACAATTACATCTTAAATATTTTGCCCTCAGAAGGCAGCCGGCTCTGAGAGCCGTGCTCAGCCCGCGTGGATGTGTGCATCTCACCTGGTGCCCACCGACCACTGGGTGCTGCTTCTGAGGGTTCCCCCAAGTTTCCTTCCTCAGACAGGTTGTGTCTGGAGGGCTTTGGGCTGCAGCGGCACAGAGCCCAGCACCGATGCTGTGCAGTGGGGAGGGGGAGCCATTCTCACAGTGATTTTCTCTTCTCCACAGGATTTCCTTCAAGGGGACTGTACCAAAGCCAGGCAAAAGCTGAACTGGAAGCCCAGAGTCACATTTGATGTGAGTGAGGAGCTTTGTGCCTACCAGGGGTTCATGTCCTCCAGGAGCCACCCGGGGTGGGGGGGTTTGCCATGGTCAGTGACCACCCTGGGCTGTTGTTCCTTGGATGGCAGCAGCCACTTCAGTGGCATGTCTGACTGTTCACCCTGGGAATGGAGTGTGTACTCATGGAGGGGAGCAAAGGAGGGCACGAATAGGGGAGTACACAGGTAAGCACTGGGGGAACCACATCTCCTCCCCCTCTCCCGCGGTGGGCAGGGGGCTCATCACGCTGCAGGGTTCATCCCTGACTCCAGGGCCCTCACCTGTCTTTCTTCTCCTTCACAGGAGCTGGTGAGGGAGATGGTGGATGCCGACGTGGAGCTCATGAGGAGCAACCCCAACGCCTGAGCCCACCGGGACCCAGCCATGGCACAGCTACACGGGGGCCGTGCTGGGGGCCACCCCCAGCCCCAGTGGCTCTATGCTAGCAGCCTGTGTGTGCAAGGCCAGTTTTGTGTTTCCTCCATTCCCCCAGTGCCTCAGGCCCCACACATCGGGGGCAGCCCCGCTCCTCCACCCAGGCCACCTCTGGTGCCTGCCACACTACTTTACCTAGAGGAGCCATTGGCCAGAGAGCCCACCGACTTACTTTTTAATTAAAACTTGTCTTTCTATTCCTTAATGCGACCTCCAGCGCATTTTTAGTACTTTCTCCCGTCTGAATGCCAGCACCCCCCAGCAACAGCAGCAGCACACCCCCGGTGCTGTGTGTGCCCTCCAGTCCCTGCTCCACCGCATCCTCCTGCCTTTCTTTTCTGAGCACTCCTTGTTTTCCCTTCCTGCAGCTTCCCTCCACCCCAGCGACCCATTTCCAGCACTTGAACTCTGTAAAAATTCAGATAACTCGATCTAACTTGCAGTGAAATCGCCTTTTGACCATGCCAAATTAATTCCTAATTGCTGGAATCGCTTTCAGATCAGGCAGAGGGGGTTTGCACGCACGCTTCAGATCTTCATTGCAGGGTGTAAGGGGTCACAGAGAGCCTTTCAGTCCTTCCCAGCCCCTCCTTCCCAAAGTACCTTCCCAGCCCTGGGGTTTGGGTAATTTTTTCCCCTTTTTGTTTCCCCCAGAATCATCTCATTCCCCACCCACCTTCTTCCTGCACACTATGATTAAACCTTGGACTGGAGCTTGAACCATCTCAAAAGATGGCTTAAGAAATTAAAAAATAAATAAAAAAAAATAAAAAGAAGCATGGTTGTTGTTTTTTGTTGTTTTTTTTTTTTAAAAAAGCAACTTCAAGGTGAGTAAATATTTTTGCACTCTTCGTGCCAAGGTGCCTGGGTTATCCAGAGGTCGCTGAGCCCGTCTGTTTCCCATTGGTTTGGGATCTTCCACTACTGATCGTGGCCATCGCTTCAGCCAGGTGCCCCAAACACAAATGGGGCCATCCTGCAGCCTACCAGAGGGAGCTCTCACAGGGGAGTTGTGCTTGGTGCTGGATGGGGCACCGTTTTGCAGAAAATAGGGGGGGACACAATGGGGGCTGCAGGGAGAGAGGACTCCTTGTGCACTCCGGCAGCTGACAGAGATGCAATGGAAAATGTGTAGGGTGCTGTGGGGCACAGGGAAAGGGCCCTATTGTGGCACAGCCCTTTGGGGCCACTTTGTGCAGGTGAGTAGAGTGCGAGCCTGGGGTTGTGGGGCTGCAAGAGTGGAGGGGGAGAGAGAGGAAGGGATGGGAGCTGCTCTGCTCCGCTCACCCTGAGCCACAGCACCCTTGCAAAAGGCTGTTGCTGGCAGATCTCCGTGGCACGTGTAATAATAACAATTAATAATCACCATCATTTAAAGGGAAAAAAAGGAACAAGATAACCCTAAAGCACTTTCCCGACGACGCATTTCTGGGAACTATTTTTGCATACAGTGATGCCCTGGGATGTTCGCAGTATAATATCGGCTTGCAGCCCCTCCTGTGTGTCGCCGGCGCTCCTTCGCCCTCGGTGTTGTTCTCTGCTCGCCCCAACCGCGCTGCGTTAGAGCCAGTTGGTGTTCAGCCTTTGTGTTGGGAGCAAAGGGGGGAAGCGGCAGACAAAACGGGTCCTAAACCAAAGGTTCCCCCAGGGCGATTTGCAGTTCCTCTGCCAGCCGGACTCTTTGCAACGACCACGGGATCACGTTTTAGAAACGGAACAAAGCAAAACAAAACAAAGTAAAATAAAATAAAACAATGAAAAAATAAAATCCAAACGCACGGCGACGTGAGCAGACGATCCCTCTATACGGGATCAATGCACCGCTCGCAGACCCACGTTCCCAACGCCCGTTCATCGCGCAAGTCGGGCGCAGCGCAGCCCCATCCGTCCCTCCCGCACGCCGTCGCTCCGACCGCGCCGTCGGGCGCATCGCGGCTCCGCGCAGCTCCGAGGGCGGCTCGGGAGGCACACAGCTGAGCGCCCGGAGCCGCTCCCACGGGCGGCAGCGAACCGAGCCGGGCCGAGGGAGTGTTGCCGCAAAGCAAAACAAAACCAAGCAAACAAAAAAGGCTTTCTTCTCCCTCTTTTTTTTTTTTTTCCCCTCTCTTCTTTGGATTTTTTCTTTTTTCTTTTTTCTTTTTTTTTTTTTTCTTCTTTTATTTTTCCCCCCTTTTTTTTCTTTTTTTCCCCTTTTTTCTTTTTTTCCTTTTTCTTTTTTTCATTTATTCCTCCTTTTTTTTTTTTTTTTTTTTCTTTCTTTTTTTTTTTTTTTTTGAAGGAGGTTGGGAAATCATTACTCTTCCCTCTCCCGAAACCCTTTCCCCGGAGCCACCCGCGGGTGCCCGTTCCCGCAGGCGGCGGCCCCACACGAGTCCGACCCCGCTCCACTCCCGGGGGGAAAGGGGGGGGGCGCTTCCCCGCTGCCCCCGACGCCGTCCGCAGCGCGCCGGGTTGTTCCCCGGGATCGCGAAGCGAAGCCACCAGCGCCATCGCGAGGGTCACACCTTCCCCCCTTTCCCTCCCTTCCCTCGGGGCCGGGGGTCGTGGTTTGTGGGGCGGGGGCCGATCTCTGCCCCGTGACCCCCTATTGAGCGCCGGTGCTCCGCCGCCCGCAGACACAACAAACGCGGCCCGGAGCGGTGCGGCCGGCAGAGCTCCAACGTTTTGACGGGTGGAAGAAAAACATCAACAGATTCCTCGCAACGATCCGGTGCTGGGGGCGAGGGGGGGACTGCGGGCGGGGGAGAGGTCGGTGCGAGGCGGCGGGCGCTAATTGCGACCTTTGCTTTGTTAATGAGCCCGCTCCGGCCTCCCCCCCCCCCTCCTCGCCCCGCGCTGCGCCGGCACTGCCCGAACAGCGCTCTGCTCCGGGCGGCACTGTCAGCGCTGTTACGTTATCGTTCAGTGGGAAACGTTCTCCTTTTTTTTCCCCTTATTTCAGGTACTTATTAACAATAATGATAATAATAAACTCGAAGTTTGAACGCTCGGAAAATAAACTACAGGAACAGAGAGGGGCTACGGCGCTTCTCCATCTCGAGCCCTTCTGCTCCGCCGCTGTGCCGATCCGACCTCTGTATCCATTGACTGATGAATACATAACATCATATCGAACATAAATATCCCGAGTATCATCATTTGTTCTTTCTTTCTTTTTTATTTTTATTGTTTTCTTTCCCGACTGGAGGAAATTCGGCTATTTTCAGAGCTAATGACTCTAAACGTGCCGGTTTTCCTGCGTTCTCCCCAGCGGCGGCGGCGAAAGGAGGAGGGGGGATTCCAGTCAGGATCTCGTTGTTGGCGGTGTCACTCCGCTACGCGCAGCCCCGACCCCCGGCGCAGGTAGGGCCGCTCCCGGGCGGCCCCACGCACGGCTCCTCTCTGCCCACCCAGAGCGCCCCGAGCTGCGCTGATTGAGGTGGCAGAAAACTGCCGACCTCCCCATTCCCACGCAGCCCGCGGGCCTCCAGCCGGGTCCGCCTTTCCTCCACTTCCCCATGCTTTCTAATATCTCTTATTTTAGCCGCACGCGAGTATCGAGCGAGGTTACAAGCCGAGCGAGCCGCGGGCGACTCTCGGTGCCTAGGGGAGTCCCTGCCCCTCACGCCGTTCGCACCCCGGGGCCGCTCGCGGGGCCTTCGCCCGGTGCGGAGCTGCGGCCGCCCCGACACAGAACCGCTCCCCCCTCCGCTGCCATTGTTCTGCGCTTGATAAAAAACAATCGCTCGTTAACCCCCGCCTTCCCCCCGGCGGCGGTGCGCTGGGAACGGCGGCATCGCCTCCCCTGACCCCCGTCTCCTTTTCTGTCTTTCTGTCCCCTGAAAAATGATTCCGCGCGCTCTGATTGAATTTTATTCCTTCCTGACCTGGCCCGGTTTTATTGCATGGACACCATCAATCTTGACCTAACACGACGTTTGTTTATGGCTTTGGAAAGAAGCGAATGGCTTTATGAGCGCCGCCGTCATGAAGTCGGGAGGGCTCCGCGCACCGCGGCACCGCACCACCTTCGGGGAGGACGCGCCGTCGGGCAGGAAAAGGAGAGGGGGAAATAAAAAAAGGGGGGTGGGAGGGAAAGAAACAAAATCCACACGGAAAGGGCGAGGGGGACCCTCCCGGCACATGGGCTCGGGTCGAGGTCCGGCGGACTAAAACTCGCGCAACCTGCTCTGCGCGCTGCCCCGCTGTGCTCCTCCGCACGCCACCTGCGCGCCCGCGCAGCGACAACTCGGCCTCAGGCGCCCCGACGGCACCGCCGCTGCCCCTGCCCTCTGCTGCGCGACTCGCAGTCCTTCCAAAATCCTCGCATATTAAAATAACCGAGCCGTCGGGCAATCGAGGGGGAACGGAGTGACTGCGCTGACATTTAAATGACCTCGCACTGAGATTAATTGAAAGCTAACGTTCAATTAGCGGTTATTCCCGAAATCGGTGATCTCTGACGAGGATGCGGGTCCATCCGTCCCCACGCGGGTCCGGCGTTCCGCTCCTCCTCACTCCGTGAGGACGACACATGAAACCCCTCGCATCGTTACCTCCCGTTTCTCTTCACGTGGGCCCCGGCCCTTCGCCGCCGCTGCCCCCTGAGCGTAGCAAAAGCCCCGGCAGCGCAAATCCAACCGCGTTCGCCTCAGACAGTGCCGTTTCGTGGGGACACGCGCAGAGGGCAGCGTGCAGCTGGAGTGCAGCCCGGAGGTGACCCGTCGCGCCACGGAGCTGGGCTCTATTTTGAAAATACGGCCGTACTCACCTCGGGGCTCTTTCCATGATATTTCAGAAAGAGCCCCGCTTTCGTAAAACGCACGTTTGGTAACACTCCCCGTAAGGCCTCCAGCCGCGACACGAACAGTCGCACCACATTCTCCCTCTGTCAGGGCCCGCGGAGGTGCGGAAGGGCTTTAAATCCACATATTCAGTTGTGACCTTTGCAGAACGTAATGCAAACTGTCACTCACTTTAAGAAATTCTATGGAGGAAATTCGGGCAGAGGGAAGAATATTCCTCTTCTGCCGGGGGGAATTCAGACCTCACACTCCCCTCAATTTCGGTGGCAGATAATTAAACACAAAATAAGAAATCACTGCGGCCGGCCAAATGGAGCAGTCCCTCAAATTGGCAACAGTTTTAAGGCGTTTTTCTTCCCTTGGACAACACGCAAAGCAATAGCTTTGAGATTCGGCTCAGGCTGAAACACAGCATGGAGCTGCACGCTGCCCCCTCACCCGCGGAGTGCCCCGCGGCAGAACAGGACCGAGCAGCCCCGTCCCTCTGCCCGGTGCCGCAGGAGTTCCGCGAGGAGATGCGCGCTGCGCGCAGGGTCAGATGGCTGCTCCGTGGTGATGGGGCAGGCCCGGTTCTGCGGGGAGACCCACGCAGAACCCGCGCAGCGCCATTTCCGTTCTCCGCGTTAGGGTTCTGTGCGGAGGGGGGAGAAAAAAAAAAAATCATAATTAACAAAAAATAAATACGAAATAACGAACCCCGCGCGTGCCCTCTGCTGCGCCTCCCCGCAGGACCTTCGGGAGCGGGAGGGTCGCCAGAAAGAACCGGGAACCTGGCGGGACGTGTCCCTGCCCCCCGCGCAGGGACAGTGGAAGGTACGGGCGGCACTCGTTGGAACGCCTCACGGCCCCGTTCTCCCCCGGCAGAGCAGCGGCACGAAACGAGCCCCACTCTCCTCGCTGTTTCTCCCCCCC